AGTGGATTTTGACTAAATTTGGTCTGGAGCATCCTTAGGCCAAGGGTCTCAATTTTGTATAAACGGTGGATGTGGCCCTCCTGGGGGCAGAGAGGTGGGGCCGAATAGGGGAAATAGAGGTGAAACCTTGAAAATCCTTCTTCTACTGTAGGAATTAAGGGATTTTATCCTAATTTGGTCTTAAGCAATCTTGGGTTAAGGGGACTCAATATTGTATAAACGGTGGGTGTGGACCCCCTGGGGGCAGAGTTGCGGAGCCCAATGGGGAAAATAAAGGTATAACCTTTAAAACTCTTCTTCTACCATAGGGATTAAAGGATTTTATCCCAATTTAACCTGGAGCATCCTTAGACCAAGGGGACTCAATTTTGTTTAAACGGTGGATGTTGCCCTCCAGGGGGCAGAGGGGTGTGGCCGAATAGGGGAATTGAGGTAAAACCTTTAAAATTCTTCTTCTACCATAGGGATTAAGGGATTGCTTTATTATCCAGGTGAGCGATACAGGCTCTCTGGGCCTCGTGTTATTACTGGTTGTTTATTGAAATTAATAAAAAATAATCTTCTAATCAGTGGTGTGACACGTAAGATGTGTTATGTTATACACTTCCTGTTTAGGGCATGCAAATTAAACATCAAAATATTTATTCTTATATATTAAATCATGTAATTACAAGCTGATAGGTGTTGTAGTAATTTTTAATTTCAGTTTGAGATGTGCTATCAGATTCTTTTCTATCTAGTAATATTTAGTACGAGTAGAAATCATGAATACCATGCATACATACACACATACAGTACAACAGGTATTGATACATACAAATATATATATGAAGACTTATAAAATCTGTATTAACCTGTAGTTGAGGGAGAAAATCTGTATTAACCTGTAGTTGAGGGAGATTGGAATGAGGGCTAAAATTCTGTAACATAATCCCAACCAAGGCCTAAGCCGTAGTTGGAATGTTACAGAATCTTACCAGAGACTGAGATAACGTTAACCTGATCTCGCTAGGTTACAGGTAATGTAATTTTTTTCATACCTTTTAGTTAGAAAACCTGTACAATTTTGCTATTATCTACAAGTATCCTGTCTGGGGCCTCGTATAAAGAAAGCCTCTTCAGTACTAAAGCTATGTTTTAAATGCTTCTGTGTAAACAATGTAGTCTCTCCTTACAAAGAAGTAAAAGCATATATTTCACATGTACAGTGTAGATTATGTTTTATCTACAACATCAGGAATCTATCAACATGAGAATAACACATATTACAACAAAGTAGAATATTACATATTACAACAAAGTAGAATAATACATATTACAACAAAGTAGAAAAATACATATTACAACAAAGTAGAATATTACATATTACAACAAAGTAGAAAAATACATATTACAACAAAGTAGAATATTACATATTACAACAAAGTAGAATAATACATATTACAACAAAGTAGAAAAATACATATTACAACAGTAGAATATCTATAATGTGAATGGTCAATGTTGAGCGTTAGTGAGGATGATTACATCCCTGTGTGAAAGTTTCTAGGAAATGTCACAAATCGATGCAAGACAAAATTGAGGAGATAGAAAAATTAAGCACAGGGTATCACATGGGATATCCCTGTCTGAGAGATTACTGGTACTAGTCTCATCTGTCAATACACCTAAACTATAGTATCATTTATATTTAAGTGTACTGACAGACAAGGCTAGTACATGTGGTATCGTATACCTGTGTGATATATATATATATATATGCTGGTATGACATTGCAATGCCCTTCCTGTCTATTAAGTGACTGTTCTGGATAAGAATTGGCACAGCCCTTGCTAACTTTGTTCCAGTATAGTTCGGTAGTTATCTAATATAACTGTATTATACATGTGTTCTGTATATTAAACTTGTCCCCAATTGATAGATTGTATATGTATAAAAACAATTCTCAATATTTGTCCCTTCTTCATAACCACAACAGCAATAATAGTGAAGAAATAATACTCTCATACAAAAGGTGTTCAAGTTGTCACATGTACATAGAATGAAATTATGGCAAATAAAGAAGCCATAGTTACCTCCCTTTACTTACCTTATCGTGAGACACATCCACGGTAGATAACATTTGTTTTCAAATTACGTAGGAGCACATGGTATCTTTTTACTGGCATAAATATGAGCATGCAGTTTTATGAACAGAATATAGGTAAATAAAAAAAAATCTTCACCACAAGATAGGTTTTCATTGTATACATATTATGCATGGGTTCACATAGTTTTGCAGAAATGTCTTGGATTCTTCCAATTAGGGCGTTTGGCCCTATGAATTTGTATTTAACTGATCAGAGAATTCCAGGATAATGTGTAAGGAATAAATTTAACAAAAAAATCAATACATTTAAATTTGATCATTAAGTTAAATGGCAGATCAGGGATTTGTGAGAGGTCTGCATTTTCAGAACTGTTATAGTTGTCATGGTGATTCTATGGTTATCTCTGTTATATATATATATACATGCTGTGATTATCTGTTTATGCTCTAATTAAAACTTGAAAGAAAAAAAAATGTGTTATCATTTATCATTAAGCAGAATGACAATCCCACGTGAAAGGTGGTAATTGTTACAGGTAGTTGTTTGCAACAATTTCAGACATCCAGCCCCAACAGACACCAGATAAAATCTACAAGGACTTTCAGTAGGCGAGACAAAATCTAGTATGATTATATCTGGTCTAGTCCGGGCTGCCACACACCAGACAAATTGTTCAGATATCCGACCTGGCCCTGTCTGCCACACACCAGACAAAATTTAGTGTTGTTCAGATATCTAGCCTGGCCCTGTCTGCCACACACCAGACAAAATTTAGTGTTGTTCAGATATCTAGCCCGGCCCAGTCTGCCACACACCAGACAAAATTTAGTGTTGTTCAGATATCTGACCTGGCACTGTCTGACACACAGAATTGGCCCGGTGTCATGCATAAAATGTACCTCCTGCTTAAATAGTATCCGGATAGTTTTTATGCAGAATAAAAAGCATCCGGATACTTTTTATACCCCTACAAAAAAGTACCCCCCCTGTATAAAAAGTATCCCCCTATGAAAAAACCAAATGTTTCAAAAATTTTAATCAATAACAGTTAAGAAGTTGATCAGAAGGTTACAGTTGCATGTTTATCACCGCTACCCCACCAATCCCCACCCCGGGGCCAGGAAATTATGCCAATCTTTTTTTTAACCACTGGACACAATAAGGTTTGGGGACTCAAGTAGAAACATTTACATTTATGTGATAGTCATTACCCAACCTATATTCAATTCCCCCCCCCCCGGATACTTTTTATACACCCGACCAAAATGTCCCCCCGGATACTTTTTATACCCTGACCAAAAAGTACCCCCCTATGAAAAAATTTCCTGGCCCCGGGGGTGGGGATTGGTCGGGTAGGGGTGGATTAATATTCCCCTGTAATGTCCTGTTCAAGTTCTGAACTCAATTGGATAAAAAAAAAAAGAGAAAAATCATTTTTTCATAGGGGGGTACTTTTTGGTCAGGGAATAAAAAGTATCTGGGGGGGTACATATTGGTCGGGTGTATAAAAAGTATCCGGGGGGATGGGGAGTTGAATATAGGTTGGGTAATGACTATAACATAACTGTAAATGTTGCTTCATGACTCTCCAAACCAGTGTTTAAAAAATATTTTGGCATCATTTCCTGGCCCCGGGGGTGGGGATTGGTCGGGTAGGGGTGGATTAATATTCCCCTGTAATGTCCTGTTCCAGTTCTGAACTCAATTGGATAAAAAAAAAAGAGAAAAATCATTTTTTCATAGGGGGGTACTTTTTGGTCAGGGAATAAAAAGTATCTGGGGGGGTACATATTGGTCGGGTGTATAAAAAGTATCCGGGGGGGTGAGGAGTTGAATATAGGTTGGGTAATGACTATCACATAAATGTAAATGTTTCTACTTGAGTCCCCAAACCTTATTGTGTCCAGTGTCTAAAAAAAAAATTGGCATAATTTCCGGGCCCCGGGGTGGGGATTGGTGGGGTAGCGGTGATAAACATGCAACTGTAACCTTCTCATCAACTTCTTAACTGTTATTGATTAAAATTTTTGAAACATTTGGTTTTTTCATAGGGGGATTCTTTTTATACAGGGGGGGTACTTTTTGGTAGGGGTATAAAAAGTATCCGGATACTTTTTGATAGGGGGGTACTTTTTATGCATAACACCGGTCTGCCACACACCAGACAAAATTTAGTGTGGTTCAGATATCTAGCCTGGTCCTGTCTGACACACACAATCCACAATTTAGTGTTGTTCAGATATCTGCCCTGGCCCTGTCTGCCACACACCAGACAAAATTTAGTGTGGTTCAGATATCTAGCCTGGTCCTGTCTGACCCACACCATCCACAATTTAGTGTTGTTCAGATATCTGACCTGGCCCTGTCTGCCACACACCAGACAAAATTTAGTGTTGTTCAGATATCTAGCCTGGTCCTGTCTGACACACACCATCCACAATTTAGTGTTGTTCAGATATCTGACCTGGCCCTGTCTGCCACACACCAGACAAAATTTAGTGTTGTTCAGATATCTGACCTGGCCCTGTCTGCCACACAGAATCTAGTGTTGTTCAGATGTCTGACCTGGCCCTGTCTGCCACACAGAATCTAGTGTTGTTCAGATGTCTGACCTGGCCCTGTCTGCCACACAGAATCTAGTGTTGTTCAGATGTCTCGTCTGGCCCCATCTACCAGACAAATCCTAGTATTATTCTGATATCTGGCACTGTCTACCAGACACCAAACAAATTCTAGTATTATTCAGATATCTGGCCCAGTCTGCCAGACAAAATCTGTTGTAATTCAGACATCTGGCCCTGCAGATTCCAACCAAAACCAAATCTATTTCACATGTTGGAGTTGAGTTTGAAGTATTTTTCTTTGTTAAAATCTTGCAGCACTATACCATCAAATGATCAAGGCAGTTTCAGAAAACACATGTTTATTTCGCCTTCCTTATTTGTACAATTCAACTGACTAATAAACACATATTTAAAGTCATAATATCGTGATTTCAATTGTCTAGATGATCCAGATTTAAATTTTCAAATTGCACTTGTTGTTCAAACCATTTAGCAACAGTCAACATTTCTTTGTCCTTGAACATTTGGCCTATGAACTGGAGACCTATAGGCAGTCCGTTGGATGTCAGGCCCGCTGGTACGGTGACCGCAGGGATTCCTGGAAAAAAATCAATTACTAAAATTGACTATCAGTTTGCTTTAGAAGCTTTCCTAATAATATCATCCACTTTATAGAGAATACCCAATAGAAGATTGATTGAGAAAGATATCAAATCTCATGACACAATTCTTATTACAATTTATCACATAATGTACTGTGTTATCCAGTGAATATACTCATGTCATATTTGTTTTGCGTATTAACCCATGTTATATGACCTATCAGCCCTGTGATTGGCTGTAAGTTTCAATTGTTTCAATTGTAACGTCAAGTCTAAGACAACTATGTGATAAAAAGGATATTACACTCGTTATCATTTCATATGAAATTTATGAAACTCATCACAAATTTTTCCTTTTAGCTCACCAGAGGCTTGCTAAATTGAAAATTTCTTCAGATTTGTTTCATAAATCTCATATGAAATGGAAACTCATGTAAGATCCTATATATAAACTACAAACTTGGGGAGTTTTTCTCCCAATCTGATAAATCATCTGCTTTTGGTAACCAATCTCTACCAAGTTTCATCAAATTCTCTTCATCTGTTCAGAGGTTATTGTACGAACACTTTCAAAGTTAAAACTAATTGGCAGACAGATTGACATCACCATGCACAACATGTATCATTGTATAGGGATGTTTTTTCATTTTGCTGAATTAAGGGTTTGATGCCTTTGATTGGGAAATTTAAACCAAAGCAAACCAACAAAGAAGATTTTACCAGCCATGTTGATGGGTTGTGTGAAGATATCCTGCTCCTCGTTCCGGGTTCTATTATCGGCTGCAGTGAACCAGTCATAGCGAGGTGCATCTGTAAGTGTGGTGGGGGTCAGTAGAACATTAACTCCTTCATCAAACACACGAGTAAAGTCATCTTTGATCAGACGACGAACACGCTGAGCTTTCAGGAAGTACTGCTCATAGTTCCTACAAACAGAATATACCATCTGTAATAAAAGGATCACGGTACAATTAAAGGCTGGAGTTTGATTTGTGATACCAACATATTTGTGTGGTGCAGAATGAAATGCTCTATAGTGAGTGAACTTGACCTGTCATCGTAATCTGAAAAGCAATTTAAAGCAAGTATTTTTGGTGAAGAAGAAGTTTATGAAGTTTTAGTATGATTGGCCCACTTGAGCTTGTAAGAATGACCTTGACCTTTGACCTCTGGACCTGAAAGGCGATTACAATTACATGTTTTTGATAAGGAAGCAGTTGATAAGATTTTAGTGTTATCAATTCATGGGAAATGAGTTTACTTAATGAAACCAATTTTACATTTAAGGTCACAGTGAACTTGACCTTTGATATTAGATGTTAAGCAATTGATCTATCAATTATAACAGTGACCTTGACAGATGACCTTTGGATCTTAAGGCAATCATAAGCAATTCCTTTCAGTTAGGAGGCACTGTATAAAGTGTTGAGAAGATATGGCAATTACTTGAACTTTATTGTGCAGAAACAGCATTAGTTGGACAGAAGTGTGATTACAATATTCCCACTAGATCTTGACAGGATTATGAAAGCTTCAAATGTATTTGTCAATGTTGTTGCATAAAATAATGCAAAAAATAGAAATTTAAAATACAAAAGAAACAAAGAAAGACATATAACAGTACCTCCTTAACAGGAAAAAATTTCCAGCAAATATTCTGCCACGGACAACTTCATTGAACCCCTCATGTCGAGACATGGCGTACATTTGTTCTGTGGATAGCTCTTGCTGCCCCCTGTGACCTGTTAAAAGTACATGTTTAGTTTATCAGCTGTGAATTTGTAATACTTCCAAGCAACATTTCTAAACAAGCTATTGTGAATGTACATGTCTCCTTAGTGCTTTCTGACAGAAAAACTTCTTATTGAATCCTTAAAATTTTTTGGAAGAACTTTGACTTAAATTTTTTAAATAATTCTGGAAACTTAACACTTTCCTAAAGTACATTTTATTCTCAGCAATCTCATCAAAACTGAAAAAATATTTTATAGCCTTATTCCAGATTCCACCTGATCATAAGCACCTTGGAAACAATTTACAATGATTGTGAAGTATTCTAAAGTTTTCCCAGCATAGCCATGATAGATACTTTTTCAAGGCAGTCTATAAATCATTGGGAATGAATGGGATGTTTGGACCAGAAAAAGGAATAGAGTGTATTTACAAGGGATGGGACACTCCTTTAATAGGTAACATACGGTACACCATTGTGTGCTGTCACAGCAACATCAGGGGCTACTCATGTATAATATATAGCCGTCTTTCTGTTAAGTCATACCAAACATGTATAATATATAGCCGTCTTTCTGTTAAGTCATACCAAACATTTATAATATATAGCCGTCTTTCTGTTAAGTCATACCAAACATGTATAATATATAGCCGTCTTTCTGTTAAGTCATACCAAACATGTATAATATATAGCCGTCTTTCTGTTAAGTCATACCAAACATGTATAATATATAGCCGTCTTTCTGTTAAGTCATACCAAACATGTATAATATATAGCCGTCTTTCTGTTAAGTCATACCAAACATGTATAATATATAGCCGTCTTTCTGTTAAGTCATACCAAACATGTATAATATATAGCCGTCTTTCTGTTAAGTCATACCAAACATGTATAATATATAGCCGTCTTTCTGTTAAGTCATACCAAACATGTATAATATATAGCCGTCTTTCTGTTAAGTCATACCAAACATGTATAATATATAGCCGTCTTTCTGTTAAGTCATACCAAACATGTATAATATATAGCCGTCTTTCTGTTAAGTCATACCAAACATGTATAATATATAGCCGTCTTTCTGTTAAGTCATACCAAACATGTATAATATATAGCCGTCTTTCTGTTAAGTCATACCAAACATGTATAATATATAGCCGTCTTTCTGTTAAGTCATACCAAACATGTATAATATATAGCCGTCTTTCTGTTAAGTCATACCAAACATGTATAATATATAGCCGTCTTTCTGTTAAGTCATACCAAACATGTATAATATATAGCCGTCTTTCTGTTAAGTCATACCAAACATGTATAATATATAGCCGTCTTTCTGTTAAGTCATACCAAACATGTATAATATATAGCCGTCTTTCTGTTAAGTCATACCAAACATGTATAATATATAGCCGTCTTTCTGTTAAGTCATACCAAACATGTATAATATATAGCCGTCTTTCTGTTAAGTCATACCAAACATGTATAATATATAGCCGTCTTTCTGTTAAGTCATACCAAACATGTATAATATATAGCCGTCTTTCTGTTAAGTCATACCAAACATGTATAATATATAGCCGTCTTTCTGTTAAGTCATACCAAACATGTATAATATATAGCCGTCTTTCTGTTAAGTCATACCAAACATGTATAATATATAGCCGTCTTTCTGTTAAGTCATACCAAACATGTATAATATATAGCCGTCTTTCTGTTAAGTCATACCAAACATGTATAATATATAGCCGTCTTTCTGTTAAGTCATACCAAACATGTATAATATATAGCCGTCTTTCTGTTAAGTCATACCAAACATGTATAATATATAGCCGTCTTTCTGTTAAGTCATACCAAACATGTATAATATATAGCCGTCTTTCTGTTAAGTCATACCAAACATGTATAATATATAGCCGTCTTTCTGTTAAGTCATACCAAACATGTATAATATATAGCCGTCTTTCTGTTAAGTCATACCAAACATGTATAATATATAGCCGTCTTTCTGTTAAGTCATACCAAACATGTATAATATATAGCCGTCTTTCTGTTAAGTCATACCAAACATGTATAATATATAGCCGTCTTTCTGTTAAGTCATACCAAACATGTATAATATATAGCCGTCTTTCTGTTAAGTCATACCAAACATGTATAATATATAGCCGTCTTTCTGTTAAGTCATACCAAACATGTATAATATATAGCCGTCTTTCTGTTAAGTCATACCAAACATGTATAATATATAGCCGTCTTTCTGTTAAGTCATACCAAACATGTATAATATATAGCCGTCTTTCTGTTAAGTCATACCAAACATGTATAATATATAGCCGTCTTTCTGTTAAGTCATACCAAACATGTATAATATATAGCCGTCTTTCTGTTAAGTCATACCAAACATGTATAATATATAGCCGTCTTTCTGTTAAGTCATACCAAACATGTATAATATATAGCCGTCTTTCTGTTAAGTCATACCAAACATGTATAATATATAGCCGTCTTTCTGTTAAGTCATACCAAACATGTATAATATATAGCCGTCTTTCTGTTAAGTCATACCAAACATGTATAATATATAGCCGTCTTTCTGTTAAGTCATACCAAACATGTATAATATATAGCCGTCTTTCTGTTAAGTCATACCAAACATGTATAATATATAGCCGTCTTTCTGTTAAGTCATACCAAACATGTATAATATATAGCCGTCTTTCTGTTAAGTCATACCAAACATGTATAATATATAGCCGTCTTTCTGTTAAGTCATACCAAACATGTATAATATATAGCCGTCTTTCTGTTAAGTCATACCAAACATGTATAATATATAGCCGTCTTTCTGTTAAGTCATACCAAACATGTATAATATATAGCCGTCTTTCTGTTAAGTCATACCAAACATGTATAATATATAGCCGTCTTTCTGTTAAGTCATACCAAACATGTATAATATATAGCCGTCTTTCTGTTAAGTCATACCAAACATGTATAATATATAGCCGTCTTTCTGTTAAGTCATACCAAACATGTATAATATATAGCCGTCTTTCTGTTAAACCAAAGATTCTCAAGAAAGAAAATATTACCCCACAGTGTACTTTTTAAACTGAAAACAACAAAAGTCATGAACACCTAAATATCTGTTGAATTATAAAGTGACTATTTTTCATACCATATTCAATGCCATCATATCTAGCCATGTTGGATGCTACTTCACAGCAGCACAGCACAATGTAACACAGAATGGAGTACTGGGTGTGCGGAAGGGATACTTCTGTCACTTTAGCACCAGCTTGCTCAAACTTGTCGGCTGCACGCCTCCATGCATCCAACACGTCCGGAGAGAGCCCAGGTGCATGGTATTCCTGTACCAATGTAGATGGTTAGTAGAGTTGCTTCAACTGTCACTTTGATTGTCAAATTAATATATCTGATACCTTTGGTAAAATAGATAACGCTGGCAGGAGTTATTAAACAAAATTTCAGGAGTTTATTGCTGCAAAATACTTCCAAAATATTTCTGAAAATCCCCGAAAAAATGTACGATAGACCTCGGACTGGTTTTGGATTGTTCTTGTGTATAGTGTGCACCCCTTTCTTGACATTATCTCTTTTTCCCTAAAAAAGTGTGCACTATATGCAAATATTTACAGCACTTGCCCATTCTTGATGAACAAATGTTACCTTATAAGTTACAAATGCCAGAAAACAGAAAAATAGGGAGCACTGCATTACCAATCCTTTACCACTACTTTACCACTAAAGCCACTTTTATGGGAAATATATTCTAAAACAGGTCCATAGACGATATTTGATCATCTTACTTCAATTTTTACAGAAAGGTACAATGCAAGACATTATACTACAAATCCTTTTTTATAATGTTTCCCTCATCCCTTTGAATGCACATCAAACAATACTACATTGGTAACTTTTTTACTTCAATTCATTACATTACTATAGGATGTTGATAAAATACTGTCCTACAGATTTGCATGCTATGCTAAACTCAGTCTAGATAACAATGTTTAACACCATAATGCTACTAGGATATATTTTTATACATGATTAAACTTGATTTACGTACCTTTGGAATGCCAATGTGTAAATGTTTTACATCTATATCTTCTGGAAGATCCGAGGTTACAAAGCGGTCGTCTGTTAGTGTGGTGGAATCATGCTCATCTGTACCAGCCATTATATCTGTACAACAAAGACAGGGTTACAGCTCTCCTTGTTGGAATGACATGTACACTACACAGGGTACTGACTTTATCATCTTTTACACAAAGAAAGAATGGCTCCCATATTCGGAGTGAGATTCATTTGTTTGGTGTAAATAATATATCCTAAGTCTGTTTTGAACACAAACAGTAATTGAAACTTAATTTTGTGAGCTTTCAAAAACGTCTGTTTCATTATACAAACAAAGAGAGCAAATGGCCGATGTCTCAACTCTATACTGCTGAAAAAAACCTCACTAAGCCACGATGTTGAGTCAGTAAAGTCAGCTGAATAATATCGAGACATTTTGTCCAACACTCTAATACTGGAGCCAGTCAGAGGGACAAGCATTAACTAATATGTTTACCCATTCCACTCCTTAGTGGATGTTAAAATGGTGTCATAAAAATGACTCAGCTGGTGCTCCCTCCCCCTCATCTCTGTTCATGGATTCCCTTCCTTCTAACCCAATTGGATTCTTTGATTTTCCTTACTTTCCAGTTGTCCTCCATTTCAAGAACTTTGGAGTTACATGTTCCAGTCTTTGATATGGCTGTGAGTGTTAGCATGGTATGTAATGACTGATTCATTGTATTGTTTGTGTTTAAAAGCATATATCGTGATTCCCCATACTGTACCTGGTATTTGAAAGATATATCTGTGAATAAATCATCAAGTCATTAACCGAGACATGTACAATAATGTACTGGTTCTAACTGTAAACAGCTGGGCCAACTTGATGGAAAAGCCCTCTAGTAAAGTGGATTGTTAGGAAATACACTGTCCTGAAAATGTAAGAACTGACTGGTCGTATGTACTGGGCCAGCAGGAAATGGGTTCATTGGTCGATTGATAGGGCCATTTTATCATTCATACTTTAATACTATTGACAGCTCCTGTAAAGACTGCATTTAATGGAGTGTTCTACGATAGCCACCATCATGTTCAAACAATGTCAGACCAGTCTATACCTACTTACTTTGCAGTGTGTTGACGTCGTCCACCGACCTGGCCATGATGCCGGGGACTTCCAGTGAGTTGACCAGAGGGATTAGGCCATGTCTGGATAGCAGCCCATAGGAGGACTTCAGTCCCACCACTCCACAGTAAGAGGAAGGGTTACGAGTAGACCCACCTGTGTCAGACCCAAGGGCACTGAAATAAGTGCACATGTACATGTACTCCATATCCTATTTAGAGAGAACAGTATGAATGATAAGAACAACATGACACTGAAATACAGTAGTGTATATTTAAAGAAGAAGTCATTGACAATAGCTAATCAATAAGCACATAATTACTATAAATTAACTTCACGTACCGAATATAACGGATAATTATTGACTATAACTGATAAAGAAGCAGTTATTGACTATAGCTAGTCAACAAGCACTTAATCCCTATAAATTAACTTCACTTATTTACAAAGTTTATAAAAAGACTGGAAACCCCACCAGGATCAATGTTAACTTTCAAAATAAACAAGTTATCTAATAACGTACTCTGGTTAAATTAATACAAAAAGGTGGGATCCATTAGGAGTGGTGTGAACATACAGAATATGCAAGTTTATACAATGTACCATTAAAATAAGCTTGATATTTGTATCTTTATGATAACTCAATATGAAAATATATAGTTTCACCATGGTTAATTATAAGTAGCAGTTAACTGATGAATACTTTTCTCTTCCATGACTGAACATAACTTACTACATACTGTTCTGTGTATAAAACTTACCCAAAACATATACCTGCTGCTACAGCTGCAGCACTACCCCCCGAGCTACCTCCAGCAACCCGCCATGCTCCCTCCTCATGTAGCCCAGGATTGCTGCCCCCTGTCCCAGGGTGTACAGACCTGTGGAGTCCCCTGGTGCCTAGAGCCTCCCCAGGGGACTGTGGTGATGCTAGTAGAGAAGAGGTGTCTAAGGTTCCCTCAGGTATCGTCCGAGTATTTGTAAACTCATATTTCCACGGATTTCGTACTGGGCCAAATATGCTGTCTACACTACCAGATCTGTACAATGTAACAAACAGTAGGTACACCAGTAATTTTACTAATTTTATGGTTATTTTATTTCCCAAATAAAAACTCAACAAACATTAAGTGCTTTTAATTGATAAGAATACCAAACCAGTAGTATCTAATCTTGAACTTGAAAGAGCTTTATCAATTAAAAGTTACCTTGCTTGTGTTCTCTCAAAAAACGTTCAAATGTTCAAGTATGAATCATTTACATTTGCTCACCAGTACAAGTAGCAACCTGTCTAGAATAATGATGTTGTCTTGTTGATACATAAAGAAGCAAAAGGTAATAAAATTACCTGCTTATTGCAAAACATATTGAATATAACACACAGCCACAGGCATGTTTAGAAAACAATTTCACCAAGTTTTCTCAGAACAGATACCCCATAAAATCTTTTCTTTCCTCAATCAATACAGACAGCTGCCTTGCGTACATGTACAGTAGTATATTTTAATAAAACCTGCATGTATTTTTTGTGGATCATTTAAATCTGGCTTATATGTGCACTATTTATAAAGCTATTGAAGTTTTCCTTTTTCTTGAATAATGAAGCTGCCTTACCCCATGCCGTACTCATCCATATTGCTCTTTCCCAAGAGTACTGCCCCCTGGGTAAAGAGCCGCTGAACCACCGTAGCGTTGTAGGGCGGGACGTAGTTCTCTAACATACGGGAGGCACATGTGGTATGTACACCCTTCGTACAAAAATTGTCTTTGACTACAATGGGAAGACCCTCTAGCTTCCTAGCTGATGTAGTAGACTTTCCTATAATTTATCAAGAAAGTTTATGATAACCTCTGCCTTAAACTTGCAGGATGGTTAAAGCCAAAGGAAAAGATTCTGAGATTTGAACACCCGACAAATTTACAAAAATAAGCATGTAACAGAAACACATTTTCAGGACGATTATTCTTAGCTATTCTTCTAGATGGTTTTGTCAGATAATTTAGAAAGCTAGGCATTCATAGCTATTCTTCTTAACGATTTTGTCAGATCATTCAGAAAGCATTAGTGCACTCTTAGCTATTCTTCTAGAAAATTCTATTTTGACTTTATATTGATTTTAATATTTTCAACTTCAAGATAAGATATTCATTATCATCAGTTCTGATGTAAGGTATACTAAATCTGTTTCATCTTGTATACAATGTGTACCTGTCCTGGACCATGTCTGAGCCGCCACCTCGGCCTGTTTCCTGGCCTGGCTGTAGGTCGGCGTGACAATGGCATTCAGCTCCCTCGTCTTTACTGCTCTGTCAATACACTTCTCACAAAGCTCCTTTGCTGATAAACTGCCATCCTTCAGGCGACTCAGTGCCTACAATTTCACAAAACACATGTATATTACAGAGTTACCTAACTTGCATTCCTTTGGGATCCACAAGCCTCAAGCTCTTGGTCAAACTCATTTACTCATTATTATGATATTTGAACTGAAAAGGTTCAATTAACAATAGCATTTTCTAATGGAATTTCAAACAATTTCAAATCTAAAAGAGGCCGAGAGGGTCTATATCAATCACCTGGATATTTCAGCAATCATGTCAAAAGGTTCTCAAGTAGTCAAATGTGTCCATTTACCCTTTAGCCCTGACCAATGACAACCCCTTTAGCCTTGACAACCATGCATATTGTAATCAGGATGCGGTGTAGAAATTGTTGATATCATAATTGTATCAAGAGGCCAAGAGGGTCTATATCAATCTCCTGAATATTTCAGCAATCATGGCAAAAACTTATCAATGAAAATTGTATGGCGATCCCCTTGTGCCAATACCTACATGTACCTAGATTTGTGATATTTTGTACACAAGCTTTTTACTTCACAAGTGGTCAGGTGTGACTTTTAACCCTTTAGCCATGACCAATGAGAACCCCTTTAACCTTGACCAATGACAACCATGCATATTGTAATCAGGATGCGGTGTAGAATTTGTTGATATCATAATTGTATCAAGAGGCCAAGAGGGTCTATATCAATCACCTGAATATTTCAGCAATCATGGCAAAAACTTATCAATGAAAATTGTATGGCGATCCCCTTGTGCCAATACCTACATGTACCTAGATTTGTGATATATTGTACACAAGCTTGTTACTTCACAAGTGGTCAGGTGTGACTTTTAACCCTTTAGCCATGACCAATGAGAACCCCTTTAACCTTGACCAATGCCAACCATGCATATTGTAATCAGGTGTAGAGTTCGTTTGATGTTTATCATAATATGGTGTTACTTTATACTCCAACAGTGTTAGAGGTTTATATTATATAACTGTCGCACTCAGCAAAATTATATCCGATAGAAAAAAGGCTGACCAGCAGCCTCTTAAGGAGTTAGGTGCAACTTTAACATGTATCATATTTAAAACTACATTGCTGCATTCTTGTAATAAAATGAAAAAAAAAATACAATTTCACTTAATTACACAAGAAATTTGAATTATTTCGTGGGTGTGTTGAAATGGAGAAAGTAACTTTTACTTAACTTGCCAGCATAAGCCAGGCAAGATTCTTGTTTGTATCTTATTATCTCCCTTTATCCATGTTGTTCAAATATTGTGCTAGGCCTATAGGATTCAAATGGGGAATAACAAAACGTTCGGTTACATTTGCCTTAGTGAAGTGCGCAACAAATCAGATGCACATTCATTCAAAGTATGGAGGACGTCGTATATCTGCCCAATTACGGAGTGTCCCTGGGAACAGGTGAAGGCCTAACCGCGAGTCTATCATCTCTATGAATGCATGGACGTTCATTTATGGAAACAGCCGATTTCCTACAGCATATTGGTTTGCTTACATCGTCAGAAACTTATCATAAAAAGCAGTTCTCAATCCATAAACAACGCATTGCATAGGCTTACCTCCTTTAGCGACAGTGAAAGCATGGTCAGAATGTTGATATTTTATGTAGGTACGCATGCGCACTGAAAGTAGGGGAGAACTTATTATTTATAATGAAACAAACAATGCATCGATAGCAACGTAAAGGAAAAATAAATGTGACCATTATATACGCGTATCACAATTTTTGTTTGTGATATCGCCGATTCGCTATAAAGTAAAGGAATTCATGACTTCACTTAAATCACAATTGTGTCGCTATACGTGTACGTACTGGTACGTAACAAAACCACGGAAGGCCTGATGGCGTCACAAATGGGGCTGCGTGACGTCATTCAGGCGTGTTAACAACAATATTTATTTCTAGGTATTTCAGGCAAATCCTCTTCTGTACTGGTGCTCGTCGGCATTTTGATACATACATTTTTGGACGAATTATTAACCGAAACCCTTACTTATGTGACAAATTTGCCTGCACTAACATTACATAAATAGTGTACCTTATTATGCTAAGAAATGTTTCAAATCGTTCTTTAAATAAAACTGATGCATTTTCCTCATAGGTTATCACATTGTACATGTACATATTTGTCAGTATTTCTACAAAATAATTTTGTCGAAGATATCTTTTTTCCTTTAATATTGTTCAGTTTTTTGTTGAAATCCTATAAAATATACATGGTAGATAGATACAATTTGCATACCCTGCATGTGATACGATATAGCATATAGAAAATGTATAGGGGAACCCGTCGTTGCTGGAAAAAAAGTTGTTATTAATGTAACTCCAAACTCTTTAGTGCTCACTAGCTATTATAAACTTAATTATTGTTTAGAAACCAATAATTCAGTTAGAATCCAAACTTTTTAAATGCATTATAAGCATGCATAAGCTATCTTTATGAACAGTCTTTGTCAAACAACAAGAAAAAAAATACATATCCGTGATTTGGCCTGAATTAATTTTCAATATCGCGGAAAAAGTGTCAAAATTGCACCAACTTGGTAAGCGTTACGTGATAGTGATAGCACTTAACATTTTATTGATTACATATGCAGGTGATATCATATGTCGTATGGCATTGCCACTATATAATCCTACCAAACTCAGTTGGCATTCATTTGGGCTATGAATGCCATGGACAGAGTGTTGACGTCATCATTGTTATGACGTCATAATTGTTACGTTAGATACCACTGACCCTCCCCTGCTGATGGGTGTTCTATTTATTGAATAAGCATACACGATACATACATTATATGAACTAAATGCTGAATAACAGAACTTGTAAGTGTAATAGATTTTTTTAATGAGATAAATAGATTCCAAAAATGGTAAATTTCAGTATTGAACCCCTTTCAGTTGGCATTCATAGGCTAGCGCGCGATTCATTAAATTTGCCTTTATCTAGTTGGCATTCATATTGCCTATGCATGCCAACTGAAAGCAGTTCAATGCTTAAATGACGTCACAATGGAGACAATAGATACAGAGCTAAGATGACGGAATATCATTCTTATCCTCTTTTTATAAATTTGATATAAAATGGAAAGTCATGATGCAAGATCCTTTTATCATGATATAAGGAATGAACGGCATTTTTTTAATGTTCATACCTGCATGAACATTTTAAAATGCTGTTAAATATATATACGTTTTGATTGATCTAATGATCTAAATATAGGTATTCCCTAATATTTTCGGTATTGAACTGTCTGTGTCATCAGTTCTTAAGTAAAAACAAAATACTTACTTAATAAAACTAATATAGAAATCACTAAAAAAAATGCGCTGAAGTAACTAGAGTTTTTTATATCAAAAAAGCTCGCCATACGGTACTCTATACCGTTATAAGGAATATCTTACTGTAGGCCTACATGTAGTTGCCATTATTTGTGGAATATGTAATTTCGGTACCGTTCGCAGCAAAATTAACTTATGCGGTAGTGCGAATCCAATTTAATATATATTGTATACAGATGCTATGATAAGTAACCACAAAAATGGAATGAAGTTCATCTGCAAATTCATAACGTCTCCTAATTGCAAAAAAATCAAACCGCGCGAGACATTTATACATGTATCTATCTATACAGTATATATTTTCGATAAAATTAAAAGAGTTCGACCTTTTCTTCAGGAATTCGAGTCAATCTATCTCACATTTCATCATATCGCCTCAGAATTATTTTTATTAGAAAAAAATGAGGATACCGGTTCCATTACTAAACCGTTTTAATAAAGAGTCGAGGCTCATGTCACGGTTGACGGCGCATATCGAATACACGATGCTATGTAATATCAATTTGGAGTTAGTGGCCACTCAGCTGCTATTAAAATGTTCTGAAGTGGTAAGGTCGGCCTATTCAGCTACTCGTGGACACGATGTGTAAAGATAGGCTTAAAAGGTTTACCTGTTCGAACGAGAATGTCTTAAGTTTATTAAGTTGTAATTCTCGCTGTACCGAGCAGGAACACGGATTCTTGTTGACACGTAGCCGGACTTTGATGTAAGCGATACGAACTATTCGGATCAAATTATCCCAAGTACCGGTGTGCGTCACGTTAGTTTTTTTCCTTCTATAATTCATGTATAGGCTATATCGCTATGTCATAACCAGTGGACCAGGTCTTCAAAAGACGTCAAGTATTTTCTCCATACAAACAAGTAGCTAGACATTTCCTTTGTATCAAAAAGAAGAAATCATTTCAATATTACATGAAATGCAAATCGCTTAAACCTTATTTGAAACCATTTTCTGGTGAGAAATCGACAATGCAATAAATGAACCCAGTTCAATGAGTACATGTGTGTAGTGGTTTTCTGTCTGGTCAAGTGATGAGGTGTGAGCAAAATACAAAGGTACAATACATATTAGCTAGTCTGCATACCAAACTAAATTTCATTAAAATGTACGTGATATTTATTAAAATGTACCTACAGATTTAATAAAATGAACATTGGGGTTGAGTCAAAACACTAGTGAGGAAATAAAACGAAATTTGGGACGAGGGATACCTAATTACAAATGATGATACTAAATCCTTTTATATTATTATATGTATCTATTCCAGCGACCCACACGTTGTTTGTGTAGGCGAGCGGTATTTTGTCCGTTGTTCATGTAGACGAGTATGTTTTTTGTCCGTTGTTCTTGTAGACCAGTATGCTTTATGTTCGATGTATTAGTAGACCAGTGTGTATTTTTTCCGTTGTTCTTGTAGACGAGTGAGTATTTTGATCGTTGTTCTTGTGGACCAGTATGTTTTATGGTCGATGCATTAGTAGAGCAGTGTGTATTTTTTCGGTTGTTCTTGTAGACCAGGATGCTTTATGTTCGATGTATTAGTATAGCAGTGTGTATTTGTCTATTGTCCTGCAGATAAGTGTGTATTTTGTCTGGTTTTCTCGTAGACGATAATGTGTTTTGTCTATTGTCCTGGAGACAAGTGTGGATTTTGTCCGTTGTTCATGTAGACGAGTATGTTTTTTGTCCGTTTTTCTTGTAGACCAGTTTGTTTTATGTTCGATTTATTAGTAGAGCAGTGGGTATTTTTTCCGCTGTTCTTGTAGACGAGTGTGTATTTTTTCCGTTGTCCTTGTAGACGAGTGTGTTTTTTGTCCGTTGTTCTTGTATACGAGTGTGTTTTTTGTCTGTTGTTCTTGTAGACGAGAGTGTTTTTTGTCCGTTTTTCTTGTAGACCAGTTTGTTTTATGTTCGATGTGTTAGTAGAGCAGTGTGTATTTTTTCCGTTGTTCTTGTAGACGAGTGTGTATTTTGATCGTTGTTCTTGTAGACCAGTATGTTTTATGTTCGATGTATTAGTAGAGCCGTGTGTATTTGTCTATTGTCCTGCAGACAAGTGTGTATTTTGTCTTGTTTTCTCGTAGACGATAATGTATTTTGTCTGGTTTTCTTGTAGACGACAATGTATTTTGTCTATTGTCCTGCAGATAAGTGTGTATTTTGTCTGGTTTTCTCGTAGACGATAATATATTTTGTCTATTGTCCTGTAGACGATAATGTATTTTGTCTATTGTCCTGGAGACAAGTGTGTATTTTGTCTGGTTTTCTTGTAGACGATAATGTATTTTGTCTATTGTCCTGCAGATAAGTGTGTATTTTGTCTGGTTTTCTCGTAGACGATAATGTGTTTTGTCTATTGTCCTGTAGACGATAATGTATTTTGTCTATTGTCCTGGAGACAAGTGTGTATTTTGTCTGGTTTTCTCGTAGACGATAATGTATTTTGTCTGGTTTTCTTATAGACGATAATGTATTTTGTCTATTGTCCTGTAGACCAGTGTGTATTTTGTCTGTTGATTTTGAAGACGAGCGTAATCTTGTCCGCTGTTCTTGCAGACGATTGTGTATATTTTGTCCGTTGTTCATGTAGACGATTTTGTATTTTTCTGTTGTTCGTGTAGCCGAGCGTATCTTGTCCGTGCATGTAGACGTGTTTGTATTTTGTCCATAGTTCGTGTATAGATACGTGCACGTGTCTATATTGCTCGTTGTTCGTGTAGACAAGTGTGGATTTTGTCCGTTGTTCATATATACAAGCGTGTATATTGTCAACATTGTGATAAATGCTGCCATGATGTCATTCAATATCAGCGTGATAAAAGCTCGTTACGTCTGCATATTCGTGCGAAAGTAAGAAATTTGAACCTGGAACAAGAGCCTATGGCGACAGAGTGAAAAATACTGATATGTATATTACAGGGTCTGTAATGGGATGTTCCTGTTTTCGCATACTAACCGATAATTACACCGCATTATATCTTCTGTGATGTGTGACGTTATACACTTCATATTATTAAAAATAAGTACAAGTATATCTTTAGATTCAATGGTATATCCTGGTATTAAGTGGGTAGTTTTACCCTATCATGCGATACATTTCACAAAATACGTAACCTAGCTGTAGCTAACGAACACCTGACTATAAATAACACCTGACTATAAAGAACACTTTACTATAAAGAACACCGGACTATAAAGGAAACCTGATTATAAAGAACACTTAACTATAAAGAACACCTGACTATAAAGAACACCTGACTTTAAAGAACACTTAACTATAAAGAACACCGGACTATAAAGGAAACCTGATTATAAAGGAAACTTAACTATAAAGAACACCTGACTATAAAGAACACTTAACTATAAAGAACACCTGACTATAAAGGAAGCCTGACTATAAATAACACCTGACTATAAAGGAAACCTGACTATAAATAAAACCTGACTATAAAGAAGACTTAACTATAAAGAACACCTGACTATAAATAACACCTGACTATAAAGAACACTTAACTATAAATAACACCTGACTATAAAGGAAACCTGACCATAAATGAAACCTGACTATAAAGAACACTTAACTATAAAGAACACCGGACTATAAATAACACCTGACTATAAAGAACACCGGACTATAAAGAACACTTAACTATAAAGAACACCGGACTATAAAGGAAACCTGATTATAAAGAACACTTAACTATAAAGAACACCTGACTATAAAGGAAACCTGACTATAAAGAACACTTAACTATAAAGAACACCTGACTATAAAGGAAACCTGACTATAAAGAACACCTGGCTATAAAGAACACTAAACTATAAAGAACACCTGACTATAAATGAGACCTGACTTTAAAGAACACCTGTCTATAAAGAACACCTGACTATAAAGGAAACCTGACTATAAAGAACACCTGGCTATAAAGAACACTAAACTATAAAGAACACCTGACTATAAATGAGACCTGACTTTAAAGAACACCTGTCTATAAAGAACACTTGACTTTAAAGGAAACCTGACTATAAAGAACATCTGGCTATAAAGAACACATGACTATAAAGGAAACCTGACAATAAAGAACACATGTCTTTAAAGACTGTCTGCACAACTTCACTGTATACAAATTGTATGCCTTTTTGTTTTGTTTTTTATAATTAACATACTCTTTGTTGAGCCCCGGTTTTTAAGAAAATGTTGACACCACAACAGCTCACCAAAACGAACAACCAATGAAATAAAAGGACCTCTAATAGGAATATTACGATATCTAAAATGACTAAGGGTAAATAGCCATCAGTGTATACAGACTGATCGAGGGGATGAGTTTCCGCGGTACGTAGCCACAGTGCAACATATCCGGAGCTCGATGACGGCATTGTGGATTAATTAATATACGCAGATAACTTAAAGCTTTCAGCTGTCCGGATATCAGATGTCGCCGTCCCTGTATTGGTAAATTAGATTTCCCTGTACTGTATTACGGATATATCGTATCAGACTGGGACATAACTGCAATAGTACATGAACTTTGATATGAGGCTTTGAAAAAGAAAACATTTTATTGGGCACCCAGCAGTGTTCTCTGAAAAGCACTTACATTTGAGTGTCTTGAGAGTTAGGAAATGGATTTCAGATACCAAACTTGACGTTAACCTGTGCAAGGCTCCACATATCTTAATTTGATGTTCATATCGATTACATTGGTCAAACAATGAAAACACAGACTTGATTTTAGACATCCTTCTATGGTCAACACCACCGAGACGTACACAATGTATTAGTACCTCAGAGTACTATTGCAATTTACATTTGATTTGAATGCCAACTGACAGCAGTCCTACCAGAAGATGTACATTATTAATAAACACCAAGACTAATTACTTTTTTTAAATAGCATGCATAGAAGTCAACAACGTCGCCGTATAATGTTTCATGTTATGGTACAACATCATACTATTCAGCGAGTATTTACAAGCAGAGTTCATAGGCATATATAGGACGTTCTTTTTGTATTCATGCATAGACATATTGAACGTTCAGGTGTAATTCATGGACATAATAAACGTTCATGTGGCATTCATAGATATAATGAACGTTCGACGTAGCTTTCATAGACATAGTAAACGTTCATGTGGCATTCATAGATATAGTGAACGTTTATGCATCATTCATAGACATAGTGAACGTTCACGAAACATTTACAGATGTCGTGAATGTCCATGTGTAGTGTTCATGGACAAAGAGAACGTTGAAGTAATATCCATAGACATATAGTGAACTATCGCGTGTCATTCATCATAGATATTTAGCGAACGTTTACGTGACATTCATGGACAAAATGAGCATTCACGAAGCATAGAGGTCGCGGACAAATAGAACGTTGAAGCGATAATCATAGACAAAGTTAACGTTCACGCGACATTTACAGGCAAAGTGAACGTCCATGGTTCTTTCATAGACCAAATACGCATTCACGTAGCATTCAAAGTTACAGTGAACGTTAACGTGACATTCATGGACAAAGTGAACGTTCACGTGAAGCGTTCATAGATTTAGTGAACGTTCACGTAATATTAATAGACATAATGAACGCTAGCGTGTCATTCATGACAAAGTGAACGTTCATGTGGCATTCAGTCAAATATGAGTGAACATTTATAGCATTAAAACACACAGTGACATCCATGTGACGTTCATAGACATAGTGAACGTTAATTCGCGTGCCTCCAGTTATGATATTGTAGTACACCAAGACGGGGTTATATAGTGTTTACTCATGTTTAACAAGAAATGTCTGTGTGTCGAGTGAACGTCAAACGAGGCCATTTGTTGCTAACATTACATTTTCAGTCACATGATATATTTGTGTATAAGATTGAAACATTTCTCAGTTTGTACAATAAAAAATGACACATGTATGAAGAAGTCAGATGGTGTGTAACACAGATTTTTATTGTCAAGGACCAATTATAGTATATTTTATGTTTAGGTTATTGCAGAGACGTATGTGTTATATACGTCTCTGGTTATTGACTTTCGATTTATAAAACATTTCATGAATTAGCTACTTATTTAAACCCCGGAACTTAAAGAGAAATATCTCAATAGTTCATCACAACACAATCGGGACGTAAATGTGTACTTCGTCTGCGCATGTTCCGGCGTACAGACTGGAGAATCGTCCAAAGTAAACGTTGGAGGAAGGAAATCCTAGTGACATATATCGACATTTCAGAGACACACATTAGCTGTCAGCGTCGTTAAATAATTTCAAAATGGCTACTGAGCTAGATCAGATGAAGGGATTCACCATTATTGTGGCAGACACAGGCGATTTTGAAGGTACGTTATACATATGTAGCTGCATGCCCGCAGTCTGTGCTGATCGAGTTGCATCACTGATGCGGAGGCTGTATGTAAAAGCAGACCGATATAAAAAGTCGATAAAACGTCAGAATAATTCGGACTAATTAAACACAGGCGTTCGTTTCAGTTTAAATGGATATTCATAAGTCGATAACTGCAATAACCACAACTGGGTGGAAGATGTTTCACAGTTTGTTTGTACGTTATGGCTGAGTGTGTGTTTATACTGTAACCAGTGTCTGTGGAACACTATATATATACATATAACATAGAGGTGCATAGTGTTTTTCTTGTGAAGAAACAATTTCTATCAAGACAGTGTAATATAGTCATTATATTGGGACGTGACTTTCGTTAAAATGCAGGCGTTATAAGCTTAAATTGTACTAACAGACTAAATCTGATGCATAATAGTAATATCCTGAACATATAGTTAAATACATTTTAAGTAGATTTCCAGTACCCGAATCAAAAACTTCAGAAGATCTGAAATTGCCTCAAACACATCTTAGCTCAATTTTGTTATTTTCATTTAATTGTCGGCAATACTACCCCCATTATATCACGATCCCGCTTGAATGCACTTTCGAGTGTAAAATGCACCAAATAGTTCGTATTTCAATTTATGTACGACATATATAGTTTCTGTATCCACCTCCATTTTGATCCGATACAGGTGTGTAGTGCTCTGATGGCAAGTGTTTGTTGAACCGTAGCCTTACAAATAGTTGCCGGAATATAGACTAAACTACAATTACAAACAAATATCGTGTTAGCATGTAGATAGTCGTGAAGAAGTAGACATTTTCTATAATTCGATACTGCTGAAACATTTACTGGGATATATTTCTAGACATAAATGTAATCGCCTGAAGGCTTGAAAACGTTAGTATTAATCATCTTTTTTCTCGTTACTTTTTATGTCTATATATATATATATATATTAGATATAAACCCATATTAAATATACATTAGTCGACTACAATTATACTGTAAGTCGGTGATAAATTAGTCGAAAACTTATTTTTTTTCTTTCTGAAATTTTGTTATTTGATATGAGTAGATATAACTAAGCCATTATAATAATGTATCGTTTTGTTTTACTACATAGTGTAAAATTGGAAGGTTTTTTTTCTTTATCTATTTATGACCTAGATATGAAGATCGCAGTGACCTAATTAAAGTACAGCACACTTTCTGTAGGTTCATCGTAATCGATCTTTTACGGTTCTACTGCCCGAACAAAATAGTATTAAAAGAATCACTGGACATTTTCAGTGAAATATGACTGGGCTGATGTTAATTTTAAACCATTGAATATGTCTTGATAAACTCGAGGTGGTGGATACCTGCATTATTTATATTACCTTCACATCAATTAAGGTCAAAAAGAAAATCTGACAACTGGTGGTTTGTTCCAAAAGATAACTAACCGATATAGCCACCTTGTCTTTTACTTTTTCGTTTGGTTGGTGTCATGTCCTTCTCATTGACCTGATATTTTGTTTCAGCTATATTTGGACCTAAATAACTTGTATACATGTTGGCGTTCACAGTAACTTAAAATGTAAGTGGTTTAGATAAACTTTTGGTAAAAATGCCATTCCCAGAGAGGACTCGTATATATCGTACGCCATCATTGGGGTGACGTTTTTACCAAAAGTTTATCTAAAACCCCTAGCTTAAAACGTGTAAAGTTACCCTGAACACATGCATAGTTTATGTCCAAATAGGGCCTATAGCTAGGCTAACACATTCTCAGGTCCCTGTGATTTCCTTATCATATTGTATCGGCGCGACCATTTAGGTCCTTTTCCGTCTTTTCGTATTGCAGAGTTATCTGCTCTTGTGAGCAGGTATTGATTGTTACGTCATTGTTTTGTGAGAGTAACGTCATAATTTTTTGACTAAAGGACGTAATTTTCTCACACAAACTAATGACGTACCAATCAATACCTGCTCACAAGAGCAGATAATTCTGCAATACGAAAAAACGGAATTGGTCTATCCTCTGCATGGATCTTATTGTGGTAGGATAAACCGGGTTACCCGGAGAACAGTCGAAATTATTCTGACGTTTTATCGACTATATCGGTCTGGCGTCGATTTACGTTAATCGACGCCAGACCGATATAAAAATATCGACAAAACTTCAGGATAATTCGGACTACCCGGAGAAGACTCGCATGGTCGCGCAGATTCGATCCTTGGTGGAGGCGAGTGCGCTATCCGCTGTAAAGTTATAATTAGGGCTACCCGACCACGTACCCTATATATAACGTTAGCTATCTGCTCCGATCATAGGAGGGCAGTGAGGCTACTTAAAGGACATGTTCCCGTATGTGTGTTGTATGTAATTATATAAGGAGCTGACCGACCTTAGGGCGTGACCTGGACGGACAAGGTCATTTTGAATCTCCGAGGGCCCGGTAAGCTGGAGTCTTACCCCCTCAAGACGACCAACACAGGCTTCGCCCGTGAAGTTTAGTCTATAAACCTATCAACCAACCAACCAACCAACTGTTCCGATGATTAGGGCCTAAGTCATAGTGGCGTCCACCTTTAGCTCATAGGTCAAATAGTATAATATTTATTAATTCATGTAATGTAAAAGTCGTCTTTATCCTGGATATATGACAACTCCTGGGTTCTTTTCTTATAGTTAATTTATTACTAGTATAAATACATCATATTACCACGGAATTAGATTAGATTGTTTTCTAAGTCCGTGATATTATTATACATATTGTAACATTAATCGTACTATTATAATGAATTACACTAATATTTATACACGGGTACTTACGTTTAGCGCTTTTGGCTCTAGTGCGCCAGATAAACTACCCAACATATATGCATCCAACACTAGGAATACCATACATAGACTATGTATGGTATTTCTAGTGTTGGATGTTATGATAGATAATACGTACTGGACAAACAGGTTCACAACACATTACATCACCGCTCAGTACCTTCCTCGCATTTACAGGTGCTATTTCCGCGCGCGCTAAAACTTTTGCCGCAACGCGGTAAGTACAAAATTACACGGAAGGCTGATTTTCGTTACATACGAATGACAAATAATGACACTACTACAAAAAGTTGATGTTTGCGTGTTACTTGTAACGAAAAGTAAGGAATACGGAATACTGAATGTCCGTGTTGAGAAACTAATAAATAATGAGTTCTCCCTAAATTTGTGACGTCACGAGCACTCTCCAAAACAAACTTCCGGCAACTTCATAAGCAGGACGTTGTTTGCGTGCAGACAAGTAGACTATTTGTAATTCAACATGTCTGAGCCACAAACAAAACGTCAATCTTTGACAGCTTTAGAGCAACTGAGAGATCTGACTGTCGTGGTTGCCGACACGGGGGATTTTGAGGGTAAGCATTGAAATAAAGTTTATGAATGATTTCTAGGTACGCATACCGGCTCTCGTGGTTTGGAAGGGGCCCACGGTGGGATATATTTACGCCATCTGGGCCGAACTCGCTGTAGCGTTACAAACAGTTGTATCAGAGTGATTTTTTTTTATGAAATAGGGACGGACCTAGTTATTTTATGGTGCTTTCTGGCGAGCGTAGAGACTTGCAAGACGTGCGTAACATTTACAGGTCTGCCAGATTTAAACGTTACCCTTTTTCCCTTTAAAAATAGAGGAACCGGCTGTTTTCCGGTCCCCGATTAAAAACTATCCTACAGCACAAGTACATATTGCGCATGAAAGTTAAAGCAATATGATAATATATTGATTTATATATGAAATAGCATTGTTTTTCTTTCAGTTGCGGTACATAGCTGCATGTGCCTACATCATGATTTTAATAAGTTCTAGATTTTTGATGATATTTTTTTTGTACACTGTATAACGAACGGCCTGTCAAACACTACCGATGTACCTTCCCGGGACTAAACCGGAGCAAAAAATTACCATCGGCAAGAAAATCGGCAGAGCTTCGGCAAGAAAGCACTTAAATATTAGATACTGTTGTCCTAATGCTGTAAGAGCCAATGTGCTACCAAATACCACTTTTCTGTCGTTAGTACACCGGCGGCCCATCAGTTCTACTTCAGTGGTATTTGGTGTTAATCGTAGGTACGACGGTATCCCATCGGTAACAGTACGGTACACATTGAGGCCACCAGATCCATTACAGGGCGCTACCGGTAATCTACCAACGAAGCCAAACCAGAGTACTGTCATTGCAGTCCCGTTGCTTGCTTTGTCAGTGTAATGGCGGAAATGTTTGCATTTTCAAAAATGTCCACCGTCGCCTGCCGTTACTAAATTGTTCACCAATGTTCTGGCGATGTCCTGACGATGTACTACCGTGAGTATGATACTTTGTGCTCCGGTATAGCTCTGGCGACCCAAATCGGCTAGGTGTGACAGGCCCTTTATACACAGATAGTAAAAAGGATAGTAAAAAGAGATCAAATCAGTATGTCCAGCACACATGGGATTATAAAATGTGAAACAAATGTCATTTTTCTTTTAAGAATATTGAATTTTTGTGTTTTTTATAATCAGATTAGTGATAAATATACCCCAGGTTTATAGTTATGTTCAGTAGTCTACAATACAGCATAACACTGAAAGCATGGACTGATTGGACTGGAATCGCGATATAAAGCATCCTCTCCAGTCAGAAAAAAAACTATAGTCATCCACAGCAATGTACTGATAAGTTTATTATTAAGTTTTTCTAAAATAACTATCTTGGGTATACAAAATAGCAGATAAGCAATCAATTACACGTACCCTTTCACCCCTATGTAACTTTAGATGACTCTACCATGCATTGATATGGATGAGTCCATTATGGTCTACAGTGGTGAAAGGGTTAAGAGGCTTCTGGTTGGCCATTTGTTATCGGATGTGATTATGCCTACTGCAGTGGCACTTGACTTGTCAAACGTATCTTGTATTTAATACTGTTGAAGTACTGAAGGTTATCAAATACTAAAGAAACAAATAAATTACAATAAGTTGTCTACTTAACAATTTGATAAACATATATATACTCCTGGTTGACCACCACACAATGCACAGATGAGTGTATCGATGCAACTGTATTTAGATATCTATGTCTGGTCGGTAAGAATTAATGCGAGTGAGCTATATGTATTATAGAATGCAAATTGGGAGAGGGATTAAATTAAACAGTCGAGATCTAGAATTGTGACATAAATGCTACGTTATGTGCTAAAGAAGAAATTTCACCTATTTTTGAATGCACAATATATGTATTTGAACTGTTCTGTAAGTAATGCTAATTAGTGATTTTATTATTAACATTTTGCCCAAATCTGTTACAAAATAGTAACTTCAATAATTTCAGCTATTGGAAAGTACAAGCCAACAGATGCCACCACTAACCCTTCCCTGATATACGCTGCCTCGAACATGGATGCATATCAAGATCTAGTGCAAGAAGCAATAGAAAATGCCAAGAATAAAGGAGGGTATTTATGTTTTATTAACAACAGTTCCATAACAGTGATCAATGATAAACATCATTTTTTGGAAACTTTATTTTAAGACATCACCTGTTCTTTGAAAAGTTGCTTGTTTTGGTGATTTATAGTCGTTTTGTCTTGACATTTTTGCATCCTCAAAAAGTAGAATACCAGATTTAGGTAAACTTAAGGATAATTAATATGTTTTTGTTAATTGATTTCTATAATTGCAGAGTGTCATTACTATCTAAATTTCATATTTGGTGTATTTTTCAGATCATTTGATGAACAACTAACAAATGCAGTAGATAATGTCTATGTTAAATTTGGTTGCGAAATTCTGAAGATTATCCCTGGTCGTGTGTCAACAGAGGTAGATGCAAGGTAACTATGAACCACATATAGGGAGTAATTAGGGCCCCGTATCAGAGATACGGATGCCCTATTGTAATCACTCTGTCTGTCTGTCTGTCTGTCCGTCCACAAATTTTGTTCTTAGCTTTGGTATTTATTGACCAATGTACATGAAACTTAGTCAAGTTGTCCAGTTCACAAAAGTACATATTGAGGTAAAAAGTCAAGGTCAAAGGTCAAGGTCTGTAGGTTCAAAGGTCAAGGTCAAATTTTGCATCTTTTCACTGATTAACATTTTGTTTTGACACTTTGAAGCAATGTTGCTCAGAATTAAACAAGGAGTCAACTGACCAAAGGTCAAGGTCATCGGGTCAGGAATGAAGGTCAAATTTTGTAGCTTTTCACTAAAGAGCATTTTATGACATTATGAAGTTAAGTTGTTAGGAATTAAACAAAGGGACACACTGAGGTCAAAGGTTAAGGTCATTAGATTCAAAGGTCAAGGTCAAATTTTGTATCTTTTCACTGATGAACATTTTGTTATGACATGATGAAGCAAAGTTGATCAGAATTAAACAAGGAGTCAACCTGGCCAAATGTCAAGGTCATTGGGTCAAAGGTCAAGGTTAAATTTTGTATCTTTTCACTGGTGAACATTTTGTTATGACATAATGAAGCAAAGTTGATCAGAATTAAACAAGGAGTCAACCTGACCAAAGGTCAAAGACAAAGTGGATCTCTGACTTTGACCCTGGCTCTTGATGGAGGAGGTATATAAGGTGAAATAAAACAAATCAAAGCTAACAAATGAGTATTGCACCGGTATTTACATTTCTGTTAGCCCAGCAAATATGGAGGTGGAAGGAAACAAAGACTCACATCATAGTACATGCAAAATATGTATTTTGGTTCCTTGCAATATTTTTTGAAGTCCAAATGTCAAACGTCAAGCTCAGCTATATGGGCAGATTACTTCTTGATGATTATGGGGGATATATTGCCACAAGACAGGGCCCTTACTGACCTGTCTGAAAATTTCCAAAGTTAAAAAAAGGAAGTATGCTCCTAATTACTTAAACTCATACGACAATGCAACTTTGATATGTTACAGTCATTCAAATGTATCTGCATCTGGCATTAAGATGTTGATAACAATTGGGCTTTCAACAATATTATAATGACTGCAGTGACATTTTATAGTGACAAAAAATGGCTCCGTTCATTTCACCTCCTATCTTAATCCACTATGCATATATATAAAATACAAAAACAGTAAGGTAAACAGAAAAATCAAGGATATTTACAACGAAATTCTATCTGTAAAATACACCTGTATATATCCTACAAAATGCTGTTGCAATCTGCAGTAATATTGTCTGAGTAACGACAATTTCTGACACTTAGTTCTGATTCTCTTTTGAAAAGACTGAAATTAGTAAGAAGCAGCCAAAAATTATACAATATTATCAGTTTGTAAAGTTATCTTACAGAATGTCGTTTGACAAGGATGCCATGATCAAGAAGGCATTGAAACTGATAGAATTATATGCAGCAGAAGGCATCGGCAAAGAAAGGATTCTTATCAAACTTTCATCTACCTGGGAAGGAGTGGAGGCAGCTAGGTTTGTATTTCTTCTTAAATATTGACATATCAGTATGTGTAGTAACTCTTACAGGAGCTTCAAGACTTGGAAATGGTGATAGATTTTGAAGTCTAGTGTATGGTTAGGTCAGGTTCAACTTTCAGCATCAGAAGCAGCTTGAACTGTACTGCTCAGCAGGATCAAAAAACAATACTATAGATATGTATATCTGTGGGAAGTCAGTCTTAAAACAATTGTATATAATGTATATCTGAGGGAAGCATGTAGTGAAAGAATCCATCATCTGCTTTGTATTTAATCTTAAATACAGTTGATAGCTGTTGGAGAAGTAGTAATAACTGTTAACTGCTGTCATTGTTAAAAAAACATAACTGTGCTGTACACTGTACGATTCACCTTATGATGTTCCTCATCTGTAGGAGTGGAAAACTAGATACATGTATATTTGGATATTCTGTCTTAAGTTTTTAACAGTTGCAGAATCACCCAAAACATAGGAGTCTGATACCATGACTACATAGTATTCAATACCTTCTCAAACAGCTAACTGCTTTATGTTGTTTGGCAATGTTTACTCCAAAAACAATAATACTCGAGAAATAGTGTTCTGGTACAGGATTAGAGAATAACATTGTATCAACTTTATATTTTTCGCTTTGCAGGGTTTTGGAAAAGGATCATGGTATTCATTGTAATATGACTCTTCTGTTTAACTTCCATCAGGTAAGACTTGTCAGTATCTATGATAGGAGATGACAGAATAGTCATTCTTCACAGAAGTTTCAAACTTACTTCAATAACATTAAACATACAAAAAAGAAAGAGTTGTCTCCCCTGATTTTCAGAGTTGAATACATTGTTTGAGACCTACATATGCAGTGATTTTTCTACCTCTTTTTGACAGGGGCCTGTTCCTTGTTACTTTGGGGAAATATCACACATAAGAAGCAAGATTTTGGGTAACTAAAAGTGATTTTTGTAATGATTTTGGGAAAATACAGTAGACAATATCTAAGGAGAAGGGGGCTTTATAAGAAACCCACAGATATGTATGCATTAATTCTGGTATGTTTGGTTGACAGGCAGTTGCATGTGCAGAGGCAAAGGTGACTTTGATCTCACCATTTGTTGGTCGTATCTATGACTGGTATGTTAAGAACACTGACCAAAAGTCCTACACCATGCTAGAGGACCCAGGTGAGCTTGAATACCAATTTACTTCTAACAATAGTTGATTTTGTATAGAAATATATAGAACAATGTCACAATAATGTGTGCAGCATTGCATATTACTTCAGTGCATAATATTTGTAGAATGCTGGGATGTCAGAGATACACGTTAAAGAGATATTTCTTATACTATTAAAAAACTGACACATATAACGGAATTAAACACTTCCAGCCATCAACCTCCTTTAACAGATAATAACAAACCATCATCCCAAATTCAATACCTCATGCATTGAACAGTTTTATGGGCATTTGATACAAGGGAGAGCACTCTAGTGACATTGACATTCTACCAAATAAAATGCACAAACTGTAAAACATTATTTCTGTCCCTAGGAGTGATAAGTGTGACAAAGATTTACAATTACTACAAGAAGTTTGGTCACAAGACAGTGGTGATGGGTGCTTCCTTCCGAAACACTGACCAGATCAAGGGTCTTGCCGGCTGTGATCTGCTCACCATTTCGTATGTATAAATATGTTAAACATTTTCTCAAGTAACATAGATATATCTTGCCACAATGTATATACTAAACTATATATATTTTTAATTGCATGCATATGATTTATTTCTGTTGTGGGATAAAAATAATAATATTAACAAGCTAGGGCTGAGATGGTCGTCCCTTACTGTATTATTTTTGCAGTGAAAACAAATTTTTTACTGTATTAAAGATTAAATATGGTTTGCAGTCAGCAAATCAGAGCACATTCAAATAAGTAACACTTTCATTTTAGACGAAACTTATTATATGCCCATTTGGTTATTGTGGTATTAAATGTTAAGCGGGACAGCAACTGTTATGTTTATATAATTTCAAGTTCATCATATTTCTTTATTCCTTTGCCCTTTTTTTCAGGCCTACCTTGCTTCAGAAACTCTCGGACTCCAGTGAGGCAGTTAAGCAGCAGCTAGCAGAGAAGAAAGGTATGGTAAAACCACTTTATCTCAATATTTGGGAATATAAATAAACTTACATTGAATTAAAAGATAAGCATTTGACAGGCCTATAGACAATAGGGGATGTCCAATATCTGGGACTTATGAAATCTCCAGCTGGACTAATGGTTCTAAAAACCACTAGTTGAGTCTAACTTACTTGCCAAAATTCAATATTGCTTACTGTATCTTGTTGAATAATATTGGGTTAGTGGAATTTGCACATCGACTAGTAAAAATTGGGAACTATTTTTTACTACTACCCCAATTTTCAAAATTAATTTCTACCCCTAGTATGAAATCATGAAATTGGAAAGTTGCTGTCAGAATGTGATATGCTAGTATCTTTGTTGTATAAATGTTGTGGTCTGATGTTCAAATATCTTGTCTTACTTGTGTAATGGGATTTTAATTGTTAAACCTAGTTTCTCTTCTTTCACAGCCAAACTGCAAGACATTGAGAAGGTAGAAGTAAACGAAAACATTTTCCGATACGAAATGAATGAGGATGCCATGGCAACAGAAAAACTTGCAGAGGGCATACGGAAATTTGCAGCTGACGCTGTTAAATTGGAAAAGGAATTCAAAAAGAGGTTGCAGAGTTAAATTTTGTCATCTTAAAGTTTGGCGAGATGTGCATTTTCTATATCGTCATGAAATGAAGTTCAGATTGGCATGTGAAGAAGAGAATGCAGAAGCTCAGCTGATTTATTATTGACACGTTGTAGTGGTAGTTCAGTCAAGTCCATACTCAGATCTTAATATTGCTTCACCATATCTATATATAAATCTGTCAATATATATACCTTGGTTTTTTTCTTGGACTAGAAAGTAAAATTATGTAAAAACCTAAACATGTACTGAAAAAAAGATCTCTTAACAAACTGTACAAATGACCTTAGCTGTTATCCTAGCTGTTGATGGGAAGTTATGCCCTATAAAACCAAACCCAAATATAACTTCTGGTTAAACCAAGACGTCAAGTTTTTGTATGGTTTTTGTTATGAAGATATTTTTATCTATATATCATGCTGTATAACAATGGGTACATGTACTGCCCTTTTCATTATCACCCTTCTCCTCCTGGCACAGGGTCCTGATATGGCAAAGTGATCACAATGAAGTTGTATTCTAAACCAAGCACTGTTCACAAATTAATGTGTACATAGGATTCTTGTCAATAATTTTGAAATTAGGTTGTTCTAAAATCGACTTATATTTCTGATATATTTCTGACAGATTATAGTGCTAGAATTATAGAGATTTCTATGATAATTGTTACAGTTTGTTATTGGTTGCCAGATATAACCATTATGTACATATACGTTTAGATACCCAGGTAGATAATCATGTGAAACTGTTGGTTTCTATATAATTTACTTGATGTAATATCACAATGTTTATACATTTATTGTCTTCGGAGTGCCTTTTCATGCAACACCATGTAAAACTACACTGCCATCATTTGTCTGTATTGTTATATATAATTGGTGTTCATGTCATCTTCAGACACTGCCATTCATACATATTGGCTTGTATATTTGTATGAAAAATATCCACCTATATATATATATTGGAATCTTGTTGATCATTATTGACAATTTCTGAATTAAGAAAAACATTTCCACATTAATTTATTGATGCAGATATTACATCAATTTGTATTTTATTTGGTGGAAGTTAAAAGTATCTGAACTTTTGATTGAGTTATCAAGTTAAAACCAATTAATTAACCAAGTGTCACCGGATCAATGTGTTAAGACTAATGTTTTATGAGGTTTCACTGTACACAAACCCAAAATGTTGAAACTTAATATAAAAGAAAATACATTTTGTATTTGTCCCATTTATCAAGGTTTACTTAAAATTTAAGCTATACAGTTCAAACCTGCAATGAAATCCCTTTATCTGAACACCTGTATAAACGTACCTTCAAGTAGGCCCAAGTGTATACATTTCTTATATAATTTGTTCTCAAAACAGGCTGTTTATTCTGAAAACAGTTATTCGTCTACTTACTGATTGGAATTAGACAAGCTTCATTACATGTGTAACCTTCACATTTATATTGTTCTAAAACTTTGTTAAAGTAATACTAATATATACAAATGTATATATATGTTGCCTTTAACAAATTAAACTTCATTAGATGACACATGTGGAGAAGTCATGTTTCAAGGCCCCGTTTTTTTCCTCTTCTTAGTTTGAGTTTAGATTTTTCCCCTAGCTTACCAGGTAAGCAACATTTCCCTTTGAGGGAAAAGAAGAAAATGTTATAGACGTCTTGTATTAAAAAAAACCACGAAGCCGAATAAATCTGAATTACTTATTATCTCTTATTTTCACTGGAATTAATTTGTCATTCCAGCTGTATGTTTTGTACTATTGGTGAGAATCCTCGGTTGAAACAGGTGGAGTTTGTGAAATAAGAAATGTTTTAGCATTATTTAATCAGAGTAATATAATGTAATATGTATGCTATCATGTCTGAGAACGGAGTGATATTTGATTGTAGACAGCAGGTGTAAAACAACTTAGATCCATTTCCTATGAAATTGTATCATATATTAAAATTAGTCCTATGCAATGATTTATCCATTGAATTTGTCTTAATTTTTACAATGCCTAAGTGTTTTGTTAAAACCTTAATCTGAAGAAAGGCTGACATTATTGAATATCCAAAATCACACTTTTTGCAACCAAATACAAATTTGAATATGATGACTTTTGTTCAATTAGAAATCCAAGGTTTCGGAAGTAATTTTGATTAATACAAAACTTTTGATTGATACAAATTATTGCTGCTATTGTCATATTTTTATCATGGTGATATATCCTGTGAATCCTGAAAGCTCTTGGAGCCACTTTCCACAGGATTGTGTTGTCATTGTGCTTATCTATTAAATTTTTATAGTAAAGCAAAATGCTTTTACCCGTATGAATGTTCTATATCCTATAAATTATATATCTTTATTTTGATAAAAAAAACCACCATTTAACATCTTGTAAATAAAATAAGTTGAAACACCTTTGAAATAGATCATGTTTAAAGTTTATATTGAGTTTTGTTTTTGGTATCTTTATTTAGTTAGTTATTCCTTCATCCTTCCCGACTGAAAGAAGCACAACTCCTTCGAATAAATATTGACCTAAAAGAAAGCCTCTCAAATAGGCCAATACACCCTTGGGTTATATTACTGTTCTAGGTTTTAAAAATTCTGCATTCTTTCAAACTAACCATAAATACCCTAAGCTATAGAACCTCCGAAATCAATTGGCCCAATGTGAAGGCCAATTAAGTTTTGTGATGGAGTGAGTCATATTGTTCACAAAGATACATAGACATTCATACTGACTGACATGATTTAAACTAAATTTGTAGATGGTTTCATGAGATCTTTTGAACACAAGCTTTCTACTGCAGACGGACACTTTCCCCAAGAAAAAGTAATCCAAAGATAAGAAAACTTAAAACTGCATTGGTACTATAAAACATTATATCACAGGGTTGTGAAATAAGAAATGTTTTAGCATTATTTAATCAGAGTAATATAATGTAATATGTATGCTATCATGTCTGAGAACTGAGTGATATTTGATTGTAGACAGCAGGTGTAAAACAACTAAGATCCACATTTTACATTTCCTATGAAATTCACACACAAACAAAATCTAATTGGGGTAGAACTGGTGTAAACACAAACTTTGTTCAGCTGTTCCTGAGATATGCTGTACACAAGACTTTTAGGTCACCTGAAACAAAGTCTCGAGTGACCTATTGCGATCGCCTTTTGTCCCACGTGCGTCCATCCGTAAACAATTTACATTTTCGACTTCTTCTCCAAAACCCCTGAACCAATTTCAATGAAATTTTGCAGAAACCTTCCATGGCCAAAGGTCAACCAAAATTGTGAATTATATGGTCCCCAGCCCCCAGGGGCCTTAGGGGCGGGGCCAAAAAGGGTCAAATTGACTGAAATTTCAAAAATCTTCTTCTCAAAATCCAGATATGGTAGAATCAAATACTCTTCATAGATGAAAGGGTCTTAAGGTGTTTTACCAAAATTCAGCTGACTGACAGAACCACTATTTATACATAGTACATATACTACCCAGATCTTTCACACTACCTTTGTATTACATGTAGTTCAAGTTACCTTTGTTACAAAATGATTTCTTTTTCATTTGGCAACATCGATAAAATCAGTTTTTACATAACTCAGTTGACCGTTAAGGCCCATGGGCCTCTTGTTACTTTGAAAGTGGCCAAGTTTGATCATTGACCCATTAACCTTGACTGATGACCACCAAAATCTAATCGAGTGTAGAACTCCTATAACCTTACTTTGGTGTAATCAATTGATCGACACAACAATGACTGATTAACTGAAACCAGAGATGTATATATACTACTATGGCTTTTTATGTCTCTGCTGAGATTAACTGAAACCAGAGATGTATATATACTACTATGGCTTTATATGTCGCTGCTGAGATTAACTGAAACAAGAGTACCGCGGGGCGGAACAATATACGCCCGTCGAATGCCATATAGTGTTATATACTTTCCTACATTGAAATAAGATCTGCATCATTCTAAGAGTGGTTAGCTGACATCAGAGATGTGTACTACACATCCCTGCTGACATGCTATAAAAAATGTAGGAGAAAATCTCCGGACAAAAAATCAAATACTGAAATGAACAAAGGGCAATAACTTTTGCAAAAATCGTTGAATAAAAATTCCTTTTATGGCGATACAACTTCATATCATGATGATAATGTATACCAGGTTTCAAAGAGATCCGTTGAAAAATGTAGGAGGAGATTGCCGGACAAAAATCAAATACTGAAATAAACAAAGGGCAATAATATAACTTTTGCAAAAATTGTCGCATCAAATTTCCTTTCAAGGAAACCCAAAACCCCCCTCCAGATCGGCCACGGCTGTAAAAAAAGAGGGGTTTCAGCGTAGAGTACCGAGACGATGGTTGTAGTTACCGTCGTATGACGGGTAGGAGTAATTGTTGTCGATGAATTTCCCGAAACGTTTGGTGTTGCTGTGTTTGATTTGTTCTATTTGTAGCTTCTAAGTAAGAAACCAGAGAAACACCTCAACATCTCATTGCTTGCCTCGTGGAAACCACATGTATGCACACTAAATAGTTTTTCATTGTACGCAATTTCAGTTCTGTCCTCGATATCCAGGGAATGCGCTCACTTTAGCTCCCTACACATGCAGAGAGCGAAAGTGAGCGTAACCCTTGGATATCGAGGATGCGTTCTTGCCTGTCATACTTGTTTTTTATGTTCTAGCTCTCCGGTGTATTTTTAACCTCTCCTTGCATTTTTGTTTCAGCCATCACCGGTTGTTTCAGCTATCACCGGTTGTTTCACCCATCACCGGTTGTTTCAGCTATCACCGGTTGTTTCAGCCATCACCGGTTGTTTCAGCTATCACCGGTTGTGTCAGCTTTCACCGGTTGTTTCAGCCATCGGTGGTTTCAGCTATCACCGGTTGTGTCAGCTATCACCAGTTGTGTCAGCTATCACCGGTTGTTTCAGGCATCACCGATTGTTTCAGCCATCACCGGTTGTTTCAGCTATCACCGGTTGTGTCAGCCATCACCGGTTGTTTCAGCCATCACCGGTTGTGTCAGCTTTCACCGGTTGTGTCAGTCACCGGTTGTGTCAGCTATCACCGGTTGTGTCAGCCATCACCAGTTGTTTCAGCCATCCCCGGTTGTGTCAGCTATCCCCGGTTGTGTCAGCCATCACCAGTTGTTTCAGCCATCACCGGTTGTGTCACCTTTCACCGGTTGTGTCAGTCACCGGTTGTGGCAGCTATCACCGGTTGTTGTTTCATCTATCACCGGTTGTTTCAGCTATCACCAGTTGGTTCAGCTATCACCGGTTGTGTCATCTATCACCGGTTGTTGTTTCAGCTATCGCTTGTTGTTTCAGCTATCACCGGTTGTGACAGCTATCACCGGGTGTTTCAGCTATTGCTGGTTTCAGCTAGCACCGGTTGTGTCAGCTATCACCGGCTGTTGTTTCAGCCATCACCGGTTGTTTCAGCTATCACTGGGTGTTGTTTCAGCTATCACTGGTTGTTGTCTCAGCTATCACTGGTTGTTGTTTCACCATCACCAGTTGTTTCAGCCATCACCGGTTGTGTCAGCCATCACCGGTTGTTTTAGCTATCACCGGTTGAGCTATCACCGGCTGTTTCAGCTATCACCGGTTCAGCTATCACCAGTTGTTTTAGCTATCACCGGTTGTTGTTTCAGCTATCGCTTGTTGTTTCAGCTATCACCGGTTGGTTCAGCTATCACCGGTTGTTTTTTCAGCTATCACCGGTTGTTTTAGCTATCACCGGTTGTGTCAGCCATCACCGGTTGTTTTAGCTATCACCGGTTGTTTCAGCCATCACCAGTTGTTTCAGCTATCCCGGTTGTTTCAGCCATCACCGGTTGTGTCACCTTTCACCGGTTGTGTCAGTCACCGGTTGTTTTAGCTATCACCGGTTGTTTCAGCGATCACCGGTTGTGTCAGCTATCACCGGATGTTGTTTCAGCCATCACCGGTTGTGTCAGCTATCACCGGTTCAGCTATCAACGGTTGTTTCAGCTATCACCAGTTGGTTCAGCTATCACCGGTTGTGTCAGGTATCACCGGTTGTGTCCGCTATCACCGGTTGTGTCAGCTATCACCGGCTGTTTCAGCTATCACCGGTTCAGCTATCAACGGTTGTTTCAGCTATCACCAGTTGGTTCAGCTATCACCGGTTGTGTCAGCTATTACCGGTTGTTGTTTCAGCCATCACCGGTTGTGTCAGGCATCACCGGTTGTTTCAGCTATCACCGGTGGTTGTTTCAGCTATCACTGGTTGTGTCAGCTATCACCGGTTGTATCAGCCATCACCAGTTGTTTCAGCCATCACCGGTTGTGTCAGGCATCACCGGTTGTTTCAGCCATCACCGGTTGTTTCAGCCATCACCAGTTGTTTCAGCCATCCCCGGTTGTGTCAGCTATCCCCGGTTGTTGTGTCAGCTATCACCGGATGTTGTTTCAGCCATCACCGGTTGTTTCAGCCATCCCCGGTTGTGTCAGCTATCCCCGGTTGTGTCAGCCATCACCGGTTGTGTCAGCTATCACCGGCTGTTTCAGCTATCACTGGTTGTTTCAGCTATCACCGGTTGTTTAAGCTATCACCGGTTGTTGTTTCAGCCATCACAGGTTGTGTCAGCCATCACCGGTTGTTTCAGCTATCACCAGTTGTTGTGTCAGCTATCACCGGTTGTGTCATCTATCACCGGTTGTTGTTTCAGCTATCGCTTGTTGTTTCAGCTATCACCGGTTGGTTCAGCTATCACCGGTTGTTTCAGCCATCACCGGTTGTTTCAGCTATCACTGGGTGTTGTTTCAGCTATCACTGGTTGTTTCAGCTATCACCGGTTGTTTCAGCTATCACTGGTTGTTGTTTCAGCTATCACTGGTTGTTGTTTCAGCTATCACCGGTTGTTTCAGCTATCACCGGTTGTTGTTTCAGCTATCACCGGTTGAACATTTCACTGATGGTTTGGCAATCTCACTCAATATCACGACTCTTTGCTTTATTATCAATATTCTTCTTTATCTAGATCAATCTAATTTTTTGCACGTGGTCTAACTATTTGTTCAAGGGCTCGATCGAATTGGTCCAATCTAGTGTTCTTTCTTTTCAAAAATGTCAAATAACTGAGTGAGTGCACCTCGACTTGTTGCAGATTTATAATATGTACCAATTTCGTCAAGCATCACCATCTGGTTTCTTTACGAACTGTTTAGGTACGTGTCCTAACAATGGTTAAACAATAACTAGGATATCATCCGGAATACCGCTGTTTTTCTTCTAGAAAAATATCTGTACATGCATATGGTGACGTTGCTCAACGTTGGGGATTTCCAATGACGACACTCAACACATCCAAACGCAACTCAAAAACAACTAAACGCCACTTGCCTTCCAGCACTTCGCAACACCAACCTATGTCTCCCAGCGCCTTCTAACGCCAACCGATAATCTTCTAGCACCAACCGATATATCCCAACGCCACTTAATACCGCCAATACTTCCCGTCACCATCCAACGCCTACCCTACACCACTCCAAGCTGCTTAAAGCTTCCAACACCTTCCAAAAATGTAACATTTTATTTCAACCTTTACCTAACCAAAAGATTCTCAACGCCTACACAACGCTACTACACTGCTCTCAATACCTCCTCACACCGCCATTAACACATACCTCCCAACAATTCTCAATGCCACCAAATGCCACCCTTACACTACCTAACGCCACCAACACTTTCCAGTACATCATAACACCTCCAAACGCCATCCACCCACTTCGCAATGCCACCTAATGCGTAACAAATCTCACAAACTCCACCCAATACCTAACAACGTCACTCAACGTTTCCCATGATACACAATGATTACCCAACATTACATAACGTCACCTACAATCCCATAACGGCTGCACGAATCCCCCAAACTCCTTCCCATATCCAACACTTCTAAACGCCATCAAGTGCATACTCAACTCCATCAAACACCTAACGCCTCCGACGATACCCAACACCTCCAAACATCTACCCGTCTCTCTATGTCACTCAACGCCTCCCAGGGTAACAACACCTCCTCACACAACACAAAGCTTACTCAGTGTCACACCTTTTTAGTCACCCAACATCTCACATCGCCTACACAAAGTCTCCGACGCTTATCTCTACCAAACACTTCATAACGCCTCCGACGATACCCTACGTCTCACACGCAACACAACGTTAACTCTAGGTCACATCTCCTAACGCCACCCAACATCTCACATCACCACCAAAGCCATCCAACGCGTACGTACCAACACCATCCAACGCCTACTCAATGCCTTCAAACTCAATTCAACGCTACCAACACCTCCCACAGTCGCCCAACTATACCTTGGATATATCCAACACCACACACTGACTACCCAATCCGACCATCGTCACCGAACGTCAACCAATGCCGCCGGACACCTATTCGGGGACCGTGTTGGCCATGGTTTTTTCTCCGGGCTTCCCTCCTCCACCAAAACCTGACACGTCCTTAAATGACCATAGCTGCTAAAGGGACGTAAAACACATGAACAAACACCTATTCAACTCCCACAGACGCCTCTAAATTGTTACTCGGCACTACCTTACCCCATAAAGCACTTCCAAATATCTTAACAACACCTTTTAACACAACCCAACGACTTCCCAAAGCCCGACAACTTCAACCAATTCATCGCCATGCAGTTATACCTCCCATCACCACAAAACACCATCTAACGCATCAATACCACCCATCACCACAAAACGGCATTTAATCTATCCAACTCCTCCAAAACGCCAAGAGCGCCCCCAATACAAGTGCCTCCTAACACCTCCCAACGGGTACCCTACGTTGCCAAACACCACCCAGCGCCTATCCCTCGCCATCCAACACCTACCAAACGTCACCAAAGGCCATCAACAGCTCCTAATACACGTACCTTCCAAGCTTCTTAAAACGGCTGCAAAAGCTACACCTATGCACTTAACCAACTTTACCTACAACAACCAACACCACCCAAAGCCTTCAAAATCCCTCAAAAATCTTCCAATGCCGCCTAACACTTAACCAACACCTCCTCACACCATCCAACGCTTACTCCGCGCGCGCGTCACACTTGCGAACTTGAGATTAACATGTAAACCACATCAGTCGTAGAAGGCTACAATAATCTCATAGATGTACACAGAGGAATGATGAAGAAATATTGAAGGACGGACGTACGTGCCAGCTGGGTCCCTCCTTCATTAACCGCACTGCAGGTAATCTTCTATGCCAAGAAGGTCTGGTGAAACTATAAAGAAGAAGATTACGATGATCCAATTTGGTAACTCACTAACCAATATAGGAACAGCTTTATATGTATTTGCCGTAATTTTTTATTTGTAATGCTGTTTTAACAAATTGTGGAAACGGTCTAAAGTGCCTCTTTTCTTAACACTAAATCAAATTTTCCCGTATTTGGTTTAAAATGAAGTTTGTTTTTTGCTTGAATGAAGTAGCTGTAATTTTAAACAATGCCTGCAATTGCAAAAAATGTCCAGTCATAGATAGATATTTAGACATAGATATTAGTCAAACTAAATATGCACAAATACGTAAAACATAATTTAAATGATAAAAAACATTCTATAAAGAATTACGGGAGACTAATGTTCCTTCTGTAGTAGTACCATATGTGTACCTATGTATGTAGTACCATATGTAGTACCTATGTATTTTCATAGGGTGGTGTTCCCTTTGTATAGCTCTATTGAGATCTCGTGGATCAATACATATTCTGATCTTGTCTCCTTTGACACTGACTACCATTGAACTGACCCATTCAGTCGGCCTGTCGACTCGAGTGATGTATCCGTTTCCCTCCATTTCTCTGAGTTTCTCTATGGCTTTGGGCTTAATAGCTGCAGGTAGTTTACGCACTGGATGAATTACACCTTCTGCTGATTTATCAATAGAGAGACTGTACTCTCCTGGCAGAGTTCCTGTAGTCTTGACTAAATCAGGAAAGTCACGAGTTAACTCATCCTCAGCAGGAGTTGAACTGAGTACTAACACAGGATCTGTGCTCAAGGAGTTGTCTGGTGGAACTTGTAGTAGACCGAGTAATACAGCTGAATCACCACTGATTATGTTCTCTTGGTCAATGTCCACAATTTCAAAGTTTATTTCATCTTTCCGACTACCATATTTGACAGGTAATGTAACAGATCCTACAGGCTTAATCCTGTGATTACTGAATGACTTCAGTGTTCTGTGAGAATCCTTTATGTGACGGATTCCTGACATGTTGTCAATCTGATTCTTTGTAAGAATACTGACTCTTGCTCCTGTGTCAATGCGAAACTTCACATCTTCTCCATTTATGTTGAGAGTTGTGACCCACTTGTCATCTATGACACTAACATCAGTGACTGAAGTGGTGTTTATTTTCAACAGTTCATCATCATCCGTCTCATATTCATCAGACTGAATACTGTGTACTTTGTTCCTTAGTCTTTTCCTGCATATTTTCTTCCAGTGGTCTTGTCCTTTACAATAGTTACAGGTACTTCCCTTTGCTGGACACTTTCCACTGTCATGAGTAAAACCACAGCTCCCACAAATGTTACCGGAGTTTGACTTATTCCTGTAGTTATTTGACTGATGTGTTTTCGGTGTTTGTGATGGCTTTAAATTTGGGCTTACTGGTTTCTTGATTTTGCTGGCTGTTTTTTTGTGTTGTTGTGTACAGTTAAGTTTTAATATTTCCTCACCTCGCATCATTTTAACCTGAGCTTGAGAAAGTTCGGATTGTTTACCTATCTGTATAGCTTTGGTAAGGGTAATGTCTTGACCTTGATCAAGTAAACGTTCTTGTACCTTTTTGTGGTTAACACCAGCGATGATCAGGTCTATCAACACATCATTACTGTCTGTGTATTCGCAATCCATTGCCAATAACTTCAGGTCTTTGACAAAATTATCAAATGTCTCAGATTCAGTTTGTATTCTTTGATGGAGTTTGTAACGAGCAATTCGTTTGTTTTTCTTGGGTCTGATGTAAACATCTAGTTTGTCCAATATTTTAACAGGATCATCTGTATCATGATCATCTACCTACCTTCTTGTCCTATCCACATTCCGATCCATCCTGCCTTGTCAGCATTTTCGGCCTTGGCGAGCGGGCCTTTGAAACAGAACGCCATGTGCTGTCGGAATCGGAGAAAATCCTGGTACTGATCGCCGGCTCCCCAATCCAGACGTGGTTGGTCAAATGGCGTAGCAGACATGGATGGTTCAGATCAACGTTTCTGACACCATGCAACGTTTACAGACTGCGTTTAGCAGTAATAATTGAAGAGAATCCAGAGACACTGGAAACGTGTTTCAAGCCGCCATGTTTATTCAAGAACCTTCTAAGTTACAGAGACGCTTGAAGCGTAACATTATCAAGGGGAACAACTCTTGATGCCTTGGAGGCTTATGCATACATTACAGTCGTAACACTTTTTTCCCTGTAGATCTGAAATTTGCTTTTAATGTTCCCCGGTAAATCCTACACAGCTGAAGTTCAATCGAGCTACTACTTAACTGTATGACTTTCTAAGATAATTAACCATTCAGGAGAGGCATTTCGCTAGTTTGGAAATTAGAATTTTTTTGACAGAAGGTGACAGTAAACAGATTGAACACTGTGTTTTTGTTTTTTTCCCATTGGGATTATAGATAAACGGGAACTAAGTATGCTACTGTAGCTGAAAACCATTCTATATAGAATTACGGGAGACTAGTGTTAACTTACGTATGTTGTCGTAACAGTATGCTAGCTGAAAACCATTCAAATCCTGAAATTGTTTCAACAATATTGCTTGTATTGAATTGATTATATCATTTAACATACCATTCACTTTTATTTAAATTATTTACCCGACTGAGATTTACGTTTTTTACACAGGGATTTGAGAATTTGTTACAGCTTATTTGGACCTAAACAAGGGGTGTTCAGAGTAATTTTACATGTTTTAGGGGTTTAGATCTTCTTTTGGTAAAAATGCCATCTCCATGCATGCTGTAATATCACAACACTAAGATGGTCGTCTGTCTAACATGTGCTTTTTAATCAGAACGAGGTTGTGTGTACATAACTTGATGACGTAGTATATAATTGTATAGTAAGTACCGTAGATACTCTACTAAGGCAACTATTATTACATCTCCTTTCTTTTTTAAGATTAAATCAACTATTGAATCATTAAATTGTTGTTTGTTATTATGCAAAATATAAAATGACTAGAATTTAGCTAATGACTAGATATGTAGCTTAATACTGAAGTTATGAAGTTTACTATTGACTTTACTGTCTCTGAATTGATTCAATTACTGTCAGTGATCCTAATAACAGAACATTTAAGAGTTCCTGGTTAGTACACATGAATACACGACTGCGAATGTCAAGTTTTTAGGTAATCTTTGAACCTTGCGGGCTCTTTGATTTCGCGTCCTCTCGAGGTTCGCTGTACTGGTGGTGCTACGGTTGGTCCTGTGGTTGGAATCTCACTTGGTTGGTTGGCACGGATTTTTGGAGGTTCGCAACTGTTTCTTTCCTCACGACTGTCTCTGCTAATTGGGTCCATTTTAACATCATCATACCATGGTTGCTCCACTGTGCGTGCCAAGTCATTTTCTGTGAACACTTCGCGT